AATTATATAATTAAGGATTTAAAAATTGTTAAAGTTGAAATTTATAATAAAAATATAGTAAGTGAACTCAAACTTTTGGAAGCAATTGTATAAGATAATTGATGTCTATTAATAGAATATACAGTATATCTAAGTTATTAGAAAGTCTTTTAATAAATAATACATACTGTATATCTAATACTAATTAAAGTTTTTTTTAAAAAAAAAATAAAAGATATATAATAAGTAATGAGTTAGTAAAAATCTTAAAAAAACTTTGGCCATATTATATTTCAAATAATCAAAAAAAATCTTTGATAACTTGAATATAAAATTTTATTTCTTATTAATATTACCAGAAAGTATTGTTTTTAATCAATATTTTAAATACTATATAATACAATTAACATCTATTATTAGAAAAAAAAATTTTTGTTTTATAAAAGAAATAATATTTTCTTTAAAACTTTTATTATAAAATTGAGTTCAATCGATGATATATTGTGCGAATACATATCCATGATGCAATGATGCATAAAGCTTTTCCTTATTAATAATTCGAATATCAACCTGTTTTGTTTCTATGCAAAAAGAATGAAGATTTTTGGTTCTCTAATTATAACTGCAACACAACTAATATTGTCCTTAATATTACTCTCAAGCTTTTGCAATTTACATCTTTATGTTATGACTGAGCAGCAAGTTATAAATGAGAGTGTTCCACAGAAAATCAAGGTTACGGTTCCTATTGATGAATCATTGGCGTTAAATTTGCCGGAAGTAAAGATTGGTCGTGTCCAGACTGTGCAGTGGAATGCGAGCGGTATTGCAGGGAATCGTAAGTTTTATTCGAGATTTATGGTATCGTTTTTTTAGATAAAAGGAATTTACTTCTATCGTACTTTTAGCCGAGCTTTTAGTTCAAGTTTATTCGGTATTTTTAACAATTCCGATTTCTACCTATCTTCCAGTTTGGACAAAACCTCAAGTAAATTTAAAATCATAATTAATTTCTGTAATTTTCAATATTTATAAACTTGATTTTCACCGTTTCTATATTCTTTTAAAATAGACGGCCACATTATCAGATGGTTCTCTTCAGTTTACAGTTGATCCGGAAACATTTAAACCTGATACATGGTATATCATTAGAGTTTGGGAGGCCAATAATGAAGATATTTATGGTGTTTCTGATCCTTTCCTGGTTACTAAGTAACTAAAATTCTTGGAATGTTCCAAATTTGATCTCAAATGTTGCAAATGATTTTATTCTTCTGATCCGAGGAAGTTAAAGCCAATTGAATATTTTGACAATTTTTGCTAATTAATAACGAAATATGCAGTGAACTTTTAAGTAGTCTTAATCCAATTGTGAAAGCACGTTCTGTGATTTGCAGTAAGCCTTCAGTATAAAAAAATCGATTTAATCGAAATAATTTCTGGTTAAATTTTTGACGTTCTCTGATTTTTTAATCATGTTTAATTTGTCAAATAGCGAATGGATTATGAACTTATACCTTATAAAAGAATAAATAATATTAATATCAAATAAATAGAAGTGAGTAAATAAATAATATCTGGTTTTCCATAAATAGATGCGCAAATAAATATTTTATTAATAAAAAATTGACATCTTACATATAAATTTTTGTTTAATATATTTCTAAATAGAATAATATAAAACCCCTAAGTATTATCAAGACTAAAAATATAAAGTTGAAACTGTTCAAAGTTAAAGTATAAGTCATATAGCAAACAAACTAGCAAAAAAAGTATTAAATCTTTTGACAATCAAATAAAAGAGTTTCAAGATTGACAAGATCATGACAGAATGAAGTAATAGAATATAACATTAGATAGTTCTAAAAACAATTCATAAAAAAAAAATAAATAATAAAACAATTATTTATTGTTGATCATAATAGAATTAAATCAGGAACAAATAGAGTTTCTAAATAGCAAACCATTAAAATTATTTATGAATATAGTAAAAAAGATTAAAAAAAAAAACACAAGTAGCACATATTTTCAAAAGCTTATAGAAAAAAATTTTTATTATCAAGTTGATCAACAATAAACTACTTACAATATTCAAATTAATAATAAAAAAGCCAAATCTATACAAAAGTAATAAATACTTAATATAAAATAATAAAAAAAAACAATAAATATTCTTTTTTTTTTTAATTCTCGGTCAGACTAGTTATGTGTGCTTTATTAAATATTTATAAACTATATATATAATATAAATTATTAAAGCTAAAAAATATTAACTAGCTTATTTATCTTTGTAATTACTATTCTAAGTACAACTTTGGGAATGATTTATTGTTCTATTAGGAGTTCAGGTGAAAACCCTTCCAACTCTTAATATTATTACTTACAGGTCATTACTGCAGATCACTCTTTAAGTTCTGACATTACTCAAAACCCAACCATCTCATCCCAAATCTAATTCCTCTTGATAAGATATCTTTTAGATCTTTATCTTCTAATATTTCTTCTTCCAATATCAGAGTTTTCCTTTCCAATCATATGGTTTTAATACCTGGAAGGTTGGAGTCTTTTTATCTTATCCTTCTTTTGAATTCCTTGCAATCTTTTCTATTCTATCATTCTTTTACATCTTGCATTCCAAACCTTTTTTCAGAACTAGTTATAAGTCATACTTTGTAACTTCTTAATATATCTTTTTATTTCTTTTTCGATTCTTTTACCATGGTATTTAAGGTCTGCCATCTCGAGAATAAGTTCGCTTCTTATTAATCCTGTAAAAAAATTTAACTAGTTGCTGAGAACTATTCTACTAGCCTGGATATCTACTTGTCTATTTCATCTATTTCTTTATTGTCATCTACTATTAATCTAATGTTCTTCTCTTCTGCTTCCTTTTTTCTTTCCTGTAAAAGTTTTCTAAAATTTGTCAAAACTCCTTCAAAACCTTTATTCTATATCTTTTTTATCTGTTTCTTATATGCTGGACATTCTAGCAAGTGATTAATTGTTTTTTCCTCCTGAAGATCACATGCAGTATATTTCACTTACTTATATAAATCTAGCATTCTTAACATTAGTTTACTCAATATTGATAGCTCATCATTTATTAGCTTGATTAGAAAGCTTTTTCTTTAACAATCTTTGAAAGATGTATTTCACATATGATTATTCATTCTTTTCTATACTAAATCCCATGTATAGTCTTATTGTTCTTGAATTTGGTAGTTCCATTTCCTTTCCATTCTGTTTTGTAATGTCTACTGATATATTGTGATCTTATTATTCATTTTCTTGATGAATTGTTTTATAGGATCATCTAAAGTTTTGTTCTGCTACTTGATTTCTGTAGGGATTTTATATGAGGTAAAATTTTTCTATTCTATAGCTAGAAGTTTGAGAGCATCTTTGACTAGAGTATTTGCTTTATTATTATAAGGGTCTTGGGAATGTGCCTTGACCTTGATAAGCTTCAGATCTAAAATTTTTTTCTTGATCAGCTCTACTATTCATACCCATAATAATCAGTTCTTATCATTTAACCATCTTTTATGTGTTCTTTTTGGATCATCTTTCTCAACTATTTTTCACTTTGAGATACAGACTTGACTATCTATAGAGATTTTAATTGTGCTACTTATTTAAACTACAAGAAGTATTGTGACTATTTCTATTAGTTCTGCATATATAGTTGTGAATCAACTATCTATTTCTGTTTGAAATCTATTTTTTTTTTCTATATTAGTTATTTGAATCCATGCTGCTTCCATCTTTATATTGTTATTGCTATGCTGTTTCCATCTTTATATTGTTATTGCTATAATTTATTAGTGATTCATTTAAATAGAAGGTTAACTTTTGTTTGGATCCTAGATTACATTGGAGTATCTCTATTATGTGATCTTGATATACTCCTTTTTTAACATTCTTTTTAATAATCATTTCTTCCCAACTTTCTATATTTACGTAATCTTTCTTGATACCTTGAAAAGTGGACTGCTAGAATAACTCTTACAAACTTTGTATAAATACTTGATTGCTATCTATTATTTTTCTGATTGCTCTTTCCAAAGATATTGTGGAATATAAAATTGTTAGCATCTGGGCTCTCCTAGTATTTTTTCTTGTATGAAAATATGATATTATATATATATTTTTTATATCTCCCTTTATGATGCAACTCTATTTTTGAATAAAACCTTTTGAGCAATCCATGTATTTAATTAGCTTTGTTTCTTGACTATTTTTACTATTCTGGCACTTGTGGTCTTTGATCTTTGCTTTTTTCTTAGATTCTTCTTGTAGTAACTTTTCCTATATTGGTTGATAATTGATATTCTTTTTAATTATCCATATTTTTTGTCTCTTGTTATGGTTAGGATTGACTATAGAATATGTTAGCTTTCATTTTAACCAATCTATTTTTCATGATTCTATAAGTTGATTTAAATAATTTTTGAAGAATTTTCTATTTATATTTAAGAACCATTCTGGGATAGTACCTTTGCCAGTTTTTTGGATAAGTTGGAGTATGCACCAATTTTTCATTTCATTTGCTTTATAATTAATGAGATGATCTATATACATCAACCTATTGTTTCTTAGTGATGATATGGCTTTATTATACTCCTCATGGAAGAAATATTCTTGGATCAAACTATTTCCTTTTTCCTATTCAAAAATATTATACTATTTTCAACTTTGAAAATTAATTTCTATATCTCTGGCTAACTTAATTACTTGAAACGAAAAGTTGTCTTTATCTGTAAGATGGTCTAGTGAGTCACAAGTCAGTAGATTGAGTGATTCCTAATATTTAATTTGTACTTGTTTGAGCCTTATAATTGTTATAATTTCTACTGATCCAAGATTATTCAATCTATTGTACAATTCTATTATCTGATTTTCTTTTTATAGTATCCAGATGCTTTTCAAATTATGAATCTTTAGATGATATAGCATACTATTGGAAATAGATCTGCATAATAAACTTTTGTATTTGAAGAGCTTTCTATATGCTGCTATTAACGTGTTGTATATTTTTCAGAACAATATACTATGCTGTATTCTAAATTCTATCCTTAGTATTAATATTCTATTTAAAATATAGAGTGCCTGCTTATCTGTCACCTTTTTATTTTTGAGAGCTCTAGCAATTATATAAATTTCTTTGAGCATTATTTCCTTTAGTTTGATCAAGATATTTTGATTACCTGTCCAAATTCCTAAAAATCTTACTTGATCTATTCTATTAAGCTCTTTGACTATTTCTTTTTTAATGTCCACCTAGATTTCTTCTGGTAACAGTTAGAATTGTTAATAGTAATTAGAACTGATTTATTACTATTGATCTGAGAGTCATTGGTCCTATAAAAGATTCTTGCTATTTCCAAGATCTTTTCTATATCTTCTTTGGATCTTGCTATTCATATTGTATTATCTATAAAGGCTATTGCAACATGTCTTAATTCTAACTTTTCAATCTTATGACTGTTGAAGTCTGGATTCCAAGTAACTGAGATTTTATATCCTTTATTTGTGTTATTTTGAATTTTGCACAGTAAAGGATTATAGAAGATTTTTCACATTAATAGTGAAATGGTCTCTCTTTGATCAATTCCATCACCTGCTTTTTTAGGATTGATAAAATCATTTTCAAATATGACCTTGAATTCCCTGTTTTTGAAAAGATTTATTGTAATCTTGATAAAATCTTTCAGATCTTGATTCTTTTCATCACTTTTACTAGCATATTCAGACTAATAGTATCATAAGCTTTGACTATGTCTTAAAACAATATTCATAGTTCTTTTTTGTTCTCTTTTGCATCTTCACAGATGTTATTCAGAATTTGAATTGATTTATCCATACTTTTTCCTAGTAACCTTGTATTGTTGGGTCTTCTAAAAATATTATTAATCTTACAAATATTTTCTATTCTATTGATCAAAACTTTGATGAAACATTTTCTAGTGACCTCCAATAATACAATAGGTCTCATATTTAAAAGTTCACACTCCCAAAACTTTGGCTTGGCTATGTAATATATATAACTTTGTCTTCAAGATATAAAAATAACTTCCTATTTCAAAAAGTTGTTGAGTATTTTTCTCAGATATTCTTTTTCATCCTGGCTTAATATCTTTAACATCTTATAGCTAATCTGAAATTTGCTTGGGGTCTTGTTATTGGAAAGTATCTTAAGTATTT